AAGGAATGTCGGTGCTCCAGAGTATGGCGAAGAGTGAAGATGTGGTCGAGCAACCTCGACCAGGTCCGTGGGTAGAGTGTCCTGTTAAGTCTAACCAAATGCCTTGGAGTTCTCCATAAATCTTTATTTGGTTTCCTATAGGAGTTCTGTGTGGTGACCTATATGTGGGACGTAAATTCTTCTTGATTGTGAAGAAATCTATGACGGGCCTAATGTTGTAGGTTGTTGCACAACCCTTAGCTTTACATCATTCGAGAGCTTGAAGCTGAATGTGATGGGGCTATATAATTGTTGTACGGGTAATCCGCATCGAGTTGTTTTTTCGTGTTCCACTGGTATGCCGTCACTGTATGAAACAAAACAAATTGAGCTCTCTGATAGCAGCATGATACGTATGAGTTTATGCGTACTATTTCAGACCAGTTCTGTCTGTGAATGAGCCCTTCCTATTTCACATACTTTTTTCGTATGCTGCCCTTTGCTAACCTCATTTATCATGTTTTATGATTCCAAGTATACGTTACCGTGGAGGTCTTTATGCTTCCGGGACCGGAATCGATCCACTGTTCGTTAAAGCCTTGGATAGTTCGTCTTTCCTTGCAATTGATGTGGTTTTGAACCACTTATTGTCACTTCCATGCGTGCGGCACAAGGAGCGTTCTGTTTCGGCTGATTTGTTTATGTATAAAAGTGAGTCAGTTTAATGGGATAAGCAGGTACAGCAATTTTGACCTCAACCGAATACACAGATTTAACGTCAGATTCAATATGCGTGCTTATCTTCCACAGACCGTGATCCAGAAATTTACTGTCGGATCTACGGGACTTTGATGTCCGGTCTTGCACGGCAACCACGTGAGTCATTAATTTACGATTCTCTATGAATTGATCAACACACAATTATACAAACAGAACTTTCCAGTCCTGACTCAGCACAGTGTCGTACCAGTTGTATTAGTTTATTATCATATGATCTCAGAGCAGCATTATCCTATGGACATTTTACTACAGATGATCAAATGACTTTCTGACTTGTACTTACACCCAACCCATTGACAGTGTTTGAGCCATTCATCCTTTTCGGTCCTTCTATTTTCAAGCCCGTAGATTTGAACCCCACCGTCTGTTCATATTTTGTTGCTGCGTCCTGTTTTTCATGAAAGTGAAATTTCGAGTTTTGTTTTCCGCAACTCGAATAGTACACGACCATCGTGCTCAAAACACGGATTCCTGAGCGCGAATGCTTATCTTCATTCTATTCTATTATATTTTTTTGGACATAATTCAGTTACTGTATTAATCAGCGAGTGAAATGAATAATCACTCATCCAAACAGCGGAGAGTATTTACGCGGGAATTTCACAAATCTCAACGCTTCTATCTCGTCAACTATCCATGGATTGGAATTTTCATTCAAGTTTTTTCATCAGTGAAAACGAAGAGAAAAAACGGAATAGTTTATTCGTGTTTCGGATGTGTGTACAATACGTGATATCAAATACCGATGAATTGTCAGAGTCCTTCAAAATGTCTCGCCGTTTTTCTTGTCTCGGTCGCAACACAAACTCTCAACCTTCGGGTTGAGACCCGAACCCCCCGTCCCAAACACAAGGCGAACTACCAGCATATTGAATGGTTATGACATCTACGATTGACAAAATCAGAAGTATGAGGAGTTAGAAAAGATTATACCGGTTGGAAATAGTTCTGTCAGTCGCACTGATTCGATGCTACTATTGGTAACTAAACTGATCAAGGAATCACGTGTCACTGATCTGTTTTAACACCGTCTGGGATGCCATACATGGAGTTTTCGAACTCCACTGAATAGTCTTCATTCAGCGCAAACTTCCCCAATACGAATGCTCGCTTGGCATATGCGCGAACGTGTCCCGATCAGGTTATTCTAGAATAGTACGTTTTTAACTGATGTGACGAGCATCAACATCATCGTAGAGCGCAATACAATAAGATGAACTTCACTGATTGTTGCCAAACTCTTCTATCCGCGGAGTTTAGGTCTCACGACCGTAAACCAGAACTGATCGTACCGTGGCACAGTATACGTGACTTTTCAACTTCAGTAGACTTCAATGAAACTTCACGTTGTCTCCACAGGTGTTTTATTCCTGCGTACGATGCTCGATCCTTGGAACTTCGGGCGGTCATCCCATTTGTTGCGCTACCGTCGTTCATCACGCAACTACCTAAGTACCAGAAGCAGTCAACTTCAGCTAATTCCTGACCGTCTAGTTTCAGAACGGGACTCGGCGAAAACCAGTCTTGCAGCATCACTTTGCAAAGCGCCTACCGAACGGAGCGACAGAACTTGCTAGTCTGTCAAGTGCGCTTTGTGCGTCTTCCGCACATTCGAACAAGCAAGGGATTTCGGCAGCGTACTCTAGATCGCACAGCTTTTCTCCAGCTGCCACTTGAATACCAACATTTTGGAGAAGAATTAGTGCCTTCTGATTCGTCTATAACGAAAGTGAACCGGAATGACGAAAGAGGGCACACTCGACGAACACCGCTGCTAGTTAGGAATGACCTATTTAGCTTACCCTAGACCCTTACGCCACCAGAAGTATGTGAGTGGGGTGAATTCAGTATGTTCACATACTTCTGCGGCATTACTTTGCGAAGCAGTGACCCCATAAGAGCTTCACGTTCAACTGGGTCAAAAGCTCCTTTTAGATAAAAAAAAATAGGACTTGAAATTAGTCGCATTCGACCTATTCCATCATGCATGTACATCGTCTCTATCGATTAAACAGAATGACAGCTCATGTTTTTGCAATTCCAAATTCATCACAAAGGCAAACAGGCTTTTCGGGAGAGATTTTATCTTCCTGTGACCACTTGTTCGAATAGCCCCCAGGTAAGTTACCAGTTGGGGAATTGCGCCCCAAACATATTCATCACCAGTCGTGTTTAAACACTCATCCCAAGCAGCCCTCTCAAACACTGGATGGGGCATGCATGTTGGTCACACTTTTTTCTTATTTCGAGACTATAGATTGACTACTATTTTCTATGTCAGTAGTGATAATCAAAATCCTTCATTCTACAATTGATGTATTGACAAGTCCGTGTATTAACATGTGAGCAAATGGTTTCATTTGCTCTGTACACAATGAAATTCATCATTATGTGTTATATAGTGGTTCGTTGATTGGCTACTTCCCATCTCCTGGAACGTGCCGTTGTCTTTGAAAAAAGGGAATAAAAATGAAAATGAAAATGAAGACAAAGAGTATAACCAAATAAAATCCTCCACTATCCTCATGTAAATGATTTTTCGTCTTCATCTGCAGAATATTTCGATCGTTGGTTTAATGACGAATTTAATCTACTCCAAGAATTCTTCTCAGCATGTGTAGATATTCAGCGACCGTCGGCACTCCCCGAAGATCCACATGTCAGTAAGTATTTTTCTAACTTCCGGTCTACTTGTGAATTAGTTTTCGAGCACTTACAGTTCTCACTTTGCTATTTGTATGCATCTTTTCTTTTTCAACGCGTTCAATCCCATATACGGTTATCGTTGTTCCAACGTTGTTAGATAGACGTCTTCTTTACAACTGCTAGACATGACTCATCCTTGATGTCCCGTGACTAAGCTTAGTCACCCGCTCGAGGATTGACATCATTCCACTGATGAGCTCATTATGCAACACATATCTACCATTGTTACTTGGCTGTCTTTAAAACTACGACGACAGATATTTATTAATTATTGCATTGATTCTGGTTGTTTTGACCGCTTTTCCCCCTCGCATACCCATGTTCACTACAACTCCGCGGCGTAATCAAACGTTCNACGTTTGTAGACCAGAATGAACAGTTAAATGCGATGGCGGACGAGTTTTATACCACTTTGCTGTCTCAGATTTGTGCATGTGTTTGTGCGTTCCCAGCGAGCTGTTTTACTTATCTGGTGAGTCCATTGCTTCTCATTATTATTCCAGTTCTGTACTTGTTTTTCTAACCGTAAACAGTTTTTGAGGAATCTGTTTGCTCAATGCTACCCAACCCACCCTGCGCTCATTTCACCGGTTTGTTATTGCTGATCTGTCGCTTCAAGTCTCTGAGTTCAACTAGCCGCTGGTTATTATTTCCACCTAATATTGCAAGCTTTAAACATTCCAGATTTCCTTAATATACCATCTGATGACATATCATGAAAATCTATTGTGTATTCTGTCTATAAATGATGTCTACTGCACCGTCTTTTTCTGTTGTTACCCGGATTTCTCTAAATGGGGTGAAAGTTTGACTTGCTTTGTCCATCACAGGAATCGGCTCTACTCTCCGGATTGCTATCCGATCACCTTTGGACATCCATGCTGGCCATTGATGTGTGGTGTTTCCTGGCTCGGTGAGTGGTTCTCATCCGCTTGGGTTTGGGTGTACCCATTATGACTAATANTCTGTCAGTCCGTTCCCTCGTGGAAATTTTATCGGGAAACAGGATTTAGATACAACCCTTCTCCACTTGCCACAACTCTTAATTTTAGTTTAGCGTCACACAGGGTGAAGTCGTAGTTCATGACTATTTTTCTGAGCCGTTTGACATTTATTCCATTCCGTTTCACAAATTTTGGATTCCAGACTGTGTCGAACAAATCAGGCTACAAGTATCTTGATGAAAAAATTAACGCATGGTTTGGTTGTGAGCCAAGTACTGCCACGATCCGCAAGCCAAAACGCGTTCTTTAGGGGTTCAAATTGAAGGCTTCGTTTTTTAATTTTTCAATTCTGACCGATTTATCGCAGAAAATCGTTCATCCTCATGAGTCATTCGATTGCCATGGACGACAAGCCTGTGAGCAGCAGCATCAAGTTACCAGTTGATGAATGCGTTTATCACCTCCTACTATCTAATATCTAGTCTTAGGCACTAACTTTCTAACTAACTACTAACCTTCACAAATTTCGCATGCGTAAAACATTTTAGCATATTCCCTATGGTTGAAGTTTTGACCAATGTACTCGGATTCATTGTGGTTTCACAGCTACGGAACAGGTGATTTATGTTGGCAATACGCGAGCACATTGGCCGAGGCTTTGTATCGTTCTGCTCTTCAAATCGTTAAATCCATGGAATCATCACAGTCAGGTGCCATCTGTCCGTCTACCGCGAGTCTGGATCGATTGGGGTACCTTTTGGCTCGATTGATTGTGTTTCTCACGCCGAAACAACAAGTAACTGCTTCAGTTTGATTGCTTGTTTTTAACTCAGTTTGGTTTCCAGATGTTTCATGATATTTGTTTTCAGAATCTCGCCATGTAATGTTATCGACTTTTTCACATCTGTGAGCTTTCTTTTACCACTAATAGCAATTTATGTGCACATTGAAGTCCACTGTTTTACGCACATACGTCCCCGTTGAGATGTGGGTTTTAATCAGTTCGTACGGCACACAGAACAGGCGAGTCTTTAGTATACGGGAGCATTAGCAATGAGGTTCGATTGTTTTCCCACCGTAATTCGTATGGGTGGTAGCTTTTTTACTACTGGTCTTTCGTATCAGTGAATTTACTTGACTTCGGTCAGTTCTTAGAGATAATAATCCGTTTTCAGAGGAGGACTTCTGTACGATGGACGTTTCTCAAACCTTTTTCAGTCTAGTCTTTATATAGCCAAACGCAGGTTGCAATGCAGCATTCTGTCCGTGCTTGATTGTCAGTGACTCCCTATCATCGGTTCGTTCATTGTGTGATCCATCTGGATGCAATTCAGGGATTCGCGTATCTCTATCAGCTGACTAGATTTCTTTCATAGCCATTGGACCAGACAGTATATCTCGTCCGCTCTCTAAGGAGGAACTGTCTTCGTGTTCCGTTTTACACCTCTACATGGTTCAACTGATTGAGTAGTTCTTCAAATTGTAATCGCTTATAAAAACCCATGTTTCTTGACTTAACCTGTGAGAGTTCGGAGGCTGAAGTAAAGTTATATGCCTCAAAGGCACAACAGTCTACCAACTGAAAGATGGGACTCCTACCAAATATCCTTTACATTCAAACTTGCCATAAAAGCCTTTTTCGTTTCGTTATGGGTATTCCAAAGGTGATGGACTTTATGCACGTTGTTTTCGGATTACCCATACGCCACCATGTTTTCTCGTTTCATTCAACACTACTGCTGCTGTGAAGGAAAGGAATCAAGTCAAGTCAAGTCAAGTATTTGCTTTATGCACCCCGAAAGGTGGATATTCAGCAGTCACATAGTCATCTAACAATTATCGAACAAAATTATAACATAATTATCGTGAGCAGTGAAAATGAAAACAACTTACGAGATAACTGAATAAAGGT